AATTGTTGAATCTGGGTAAAGGGTATATGGAGCCTCTTTGTACCAGTCTTGCAACTTTTCTGTAAGTTTATTTCAAAGTAAAAAGTTATAGAAGAGCTAAAAATTTGTTTCAAATGCATATGCATACATATATATGTATGTATGCATATATGGATAGAATTTAAGCCTCGAGCTACTGTACATAATCTTTTCTGTGCACAAAAGCCACTCTCAAACATCACAAACCTCACACACTCACACAACGTTGTTTATCATGGAATGTCTGGAGTGTTGCTGTTCTTAGCTGTTCTCGTGTTGTCAAATGAGTCTATGAGATCACAGCATTCTAAAGTCCAAGGAGCAATGGAGGATTTTTTGTGGTTCCTACTCTAGTGGCTTTGCAACTGTGGGGAAGAATTCAATTCATGTCCTTCCTACACTTAATTTGAGGGCAAAGTCTTTGCAAGTGTGCTAGTGGTTGCCTTTGTATTCATTCCACCTCTAGTGCATTACAAATTCAGGAAAATCCCATGGCGGCTCCACAAAACACATCTATTAGTCTTGATGCTTTCTCCCAAACATGCATTTTGCTTGCTGGTGCACAATCTGTGCCTGCTTGATCCATTTTATTTTTTAACTGAAATAGTTCCTTCCCCTCCAGTCTGCCAGGTGTGGAATGTAAAGCCAAATGCCCTCCTCAGAGTCATCCACACGCAGTTGTCTTAGACATGGTGAAGTGGTAAAAATTCCTTGGTTCCTTCGTGTGCCATCAAAACAGCCAATCTGATGTTTCAAATAAAGGCAGGTTTGAGGACTGGCAGGAGGGATAAATGATATATTCATTTAAATGGGATGAAAATTAGTCTTCGTATACGTGGGTGGTCTTTTAATGTAATAGTCACTTAGGTCGGCATCATCACCCCACCTTCAAAAACTTAAGTGTTTCATATCGGAAAGGCCACAATCACTTATCATTCTTAATGAGCTCGATGATCTGTTATTTCCAAAAATCACTAGAATAGGACGTAGCTAGTGGACTTTTATAATTTCTTTGGATCCCTAGCATCTGAACCCTGTTGGGGCTCTTCACCGTGAATCTTGGTGGGAGGCAAAGACAGCCCCTCGCTAGAGGAGCTGGCATTGCTACTCATTTCCTAGCCTCCTTTGCAGCTAGGCCAGAAGCAGAGCAGGACAGGGGTGAGGGACTCTGCCGCTGGCAGTGGTTATGACCATGTATAATGGGGGTATCCTCCCCAGAACCAGTTCTGTGGCTTCCTTTTAGAACAGGGGTCTCCGACTTCTAGGCTGCAGAACAGTACCGGTCCGTGGCCTGTTGGAACCTGACTGCAGAGCAGGAGTTGAATGGCAGGCAAGTGAGTGAAGCTTCGCCTGTGTTTGCAGCTGCTCCCCAGCGCTAGCATCACCGCCTCAGCTCCACCTCAGATCATCGGGCATTAGATTCTCACAGGAGCACCGGTCCCTGGTGCCAAAAAGTTTGGGGACCACTGTTATAGACGAGACTCCTACTACTCAGACTTCCCCATTAACAATAATAGAAATGAGATGAAATTCTCTTGAGAAGCAGTGTAAATTGCAAACTGGTTAATTCATATACTTGTTATTACTAAAACAGAAAACAAAATCAACACTATGGCAATTGCTGCACAAAAATGATCTCCCAAGCTATAAATGCCTACCACCTTTGATCCAGAAATCTCATTTCTAGGAATGTGGCCCACAGATATATTTTTGCACAAGTGAAGTAATGAAATGAGAGATGCGTGGTATTGTTTGTCATAGCAAAAGACTGAGAACCACCCACATATCCCACCAAAAGAGGCTGCTTAAATAATATCCCACTAACGTATGCTGGAATATTATGCAGCTATAAAAGAAATGATACTGTAGAATATTACTCAGCCACAAAAGAGTGAAATCTTGCCATTTGTGACAACATAGATGGACCTAGAGAGTGTTGTGCTGAGTGAAGTGAAGTCAAAGAAAGACAAATACCATAAGCTTTCACTTACATGTGGAATCTAAAAAACAAAATAAACAAACAGATACAAACAGAATGATGTTTGCTCGATGGGAGGGGGGCTGGGTGAAAAACAGAAAGGGATTAAGTGCAACTTGGTAGTTACAAAATAGTCACAGGGATGTGAAGTACAACATAGGGAATATAGTCGATAATATTTTTTTTTTCAATTAGAGTTGACATTTAATATTAGTTTCAGCTGTACAGCATAATAGACATTTATATAACTTACAAAGTGATCCCCTGATTAGTACCTACCTGACACTATACATGGTTATTATATTATGGACTGCATGCTGTACTTCACATTTCCATGACTATAACTACCAATTTGTACTTTCTTCTTCTTAAAAAAAATTTTTGTTAGCTTCAGGTATACAGTACATTGGTTAGACATGTATATAGTTTATGAAGTGATCCCCCAATTACTCTATCACTCCTCTGGCTCTACACACAGCCATTGCAATACTATTGACTATATTCCTTATGTTGTACTCTACACCCCCGTGATTGTTTTCTAACTGCTAATTTGTACTTTTTCATTCCTTCCCCTCTGCACCCAGACCCCCAACCACCCTCCCATCTGGCAGCCTGTTTGTTCTCTGTATCTACAAGTTGGTCTTTGTTTGTTCATTTTGTTCTTTAGATCCCACAAAGAAGTGAAACATATGGTATTTGTCTCTCTCTGATAGTCAATAATATTGTAGTAACTATGTGTGGTGCCAGGTGGGTACTATACTTATCGGGCGATCACTTTGTAAAGTATATAAATGTTTAACCAGTGCGGTGTGCACCTGAAACAAATACAATCTTGTATGTCAACTGTAATTGAAAAAGAAAATTTAAAAAATGAGAAAGCACTTTATATATTGAAATGGAAAAATCCATTTCAATATAAGAATGTATCTCGAGTCCATTCTTAAGTTTAAAAAAAGCAAGGTACAGAACTAGGTGCATAGAATGTTATCTTCTGTGTAATAAAAGGGAAAAATAGGAACATATGTTTGTAATCGCTTATGTAATACAAAGATACTTTGGAAGGATATGCAAGAATTTAATAATATTCACTCATAGGGCAGTGAGGATGATGTGGGAACAGGGTGTTTGGGGCCTTTTCACTGCCTTTCTAGATTTTTCAACCATATGAATTAATTACCTATTAAAATAAAGTACTGCTGTCCAGTCAATACATTTTTTGTAACATAACTGCGTGCTTTATTGAGATACACAGTAAAGCAGTAATATAATACAATAGTAAGGCATATATTTGGTGAAGTCTGATATGTTGTGAAAATGCAGTAAAACTGAAGTTTAAAAAAATAATTAGTAAATGTTACAGTGTTGGTGTTAAAACACATCTTATGATACTCAAGTAAGAACCCAGTACCTGAAAACAATGACATACCATGCCATGTGATGCGTATGCTTCAGTTACATTGATTATGATTTAGTTTAATACTCAGTGGTTATAAAGAACACGAAATAATATCCAAATTATGCTTAAAACGTGGCAATAAAGCTCTCGATTTTTATTCATGTATTTTGACACTCACTCCAGAACTAATGTCTAAAAGATAAAAGATTAAAACAAAATTATGCACTCTATCTCTGATTGTAGAATGAAACTTAAACTTCTTATCAGGGAGTAAAGTAACCCCCTTGCTTTAAATCATGGTTTAAAAAAAATACTGGGATAAAGAAAAAGTCCAGAGTCACATAAAGGAAAAAACGCAAGTCTAAAACCAAATCTTCATGTAATTTGTTACCGTAGAGCTTTGGGTTTTCTTTTAGAAATTATAAGGGGAAAAGAAAATGGAGAAAAATGTTCACACAATGGACAAGTGGTGAAGCTGTGAAATCAGGTGTGCACAATTATTAAGAACACCCCAAAACCAAAGTGAGGTAGAAATAGCATGAGAAGCCATGTTTGATGTTAATCATTAATAAAATAACGGACAAAACTCACTCTCCAAAAGTTAATTACACTTGATGTAAGAGGTAACAGATTTGCAAAATGTCACATGGTGATTTCTATTGAATGATTAATGAAAATCAAAGACTAATACAATGAAATGAAAGAATAAAGCTTTTTCCTACCAGTTAGTCCTCTTGAGTTTTTCTCCTCTTTTTGCTTATATATTTAACCTGCTCGATCCACCAAAAAGAGTTTGGAGTACCTTTTGGAACATCCGAATCCATTTGTGTTTCCGCTTA